TGTAATCGAAATACTAAATGTAAATCCATGATTTCAGTTGTGTGCAGTCTAATGAAAATAATTAGCTTTTCATACAGCGGTGAATTTACATCAAGAATACCTTAAAGTTTGAGATGATCAGTGTGTGTGTGATTGTAGTAAGCCATAGTCATACCAGAAAAAATGCACCTGGTATTTGAGATGGATGGAGTTATCTGGTGGAATATCATGAAAATCACCTGAAGAATCCTCACTATCAGCTGGTATGAATAATCTTAAACAGATTATTTCTGTCAATAGGAAATTAGATAGTTTCCATTTACCAAGCAATATCATCTTAAAGAGAGCAAGAACAAAGATTTAAATTCATTTTACTTCACTTGGTTCTCATCTACTGCCTACAGCCTGTTATATTTAAAAATGAGTTTAAATTACTTACATGAAAAGATTTAATTAGAAGTTGCTATGACCACATATCAGTGTAATATAGCCAGAGTGATAGACTGAATAAAATATTTTAAATATATATCTTATTTGAAAGAAATATCTGCAACATCGATAATAACAAAAGTCCAAAGGACTAGGATCAAGTGGTTATGTGTTATGGTTATGTCATAGGGATATTTAGTGATTGCACTATTTAAAACAGTACTTTCTCTTATTCAAAGGATTTTTGATATATGATCAAAGAAACTAGGATGTGCTCCTTTTTGTTCGGCCATTGCAGTTAGCTTGTCAGGTACATTTAAATTTATAGATACAGTTGCGGTAACATGAAAACGCACTTGTTGACTTTAAATTGGGTTATTAAAAATGTTTTATACAGAATCAACAGTTTGTTTGCAGAATAGGTTCTGGCTAATGCATTGTTAATCTTTCCGCCTCCTGATGTCATCATCTTTGAAGCTGAGACTCGTAGATCTTGGTTTTTCATTGACCGTAGGTTCTTACGTTGTTTTACCTTCCGCTTTCTTACATTTATCAGTGAATTTACAGGGGTAGCAGTTGTCTCCATTTTTCATTAATTCTTCTCCCAGTTTGTCAGCGGTACATATCCTTTCTACTCTATAAAATAGTGTTTTGGCCAGTGCTCTCTTGAAACTGATTGGAAAAAAAATGTTGAAGTCCAAGAAAAGACCATTCCAAGTACTTTTTCAATAGATTGAACATTGAACTGTCTCATCTTTTCCCTGTTGTATAGCAGCGTTAACTGTGATATGTCATTCTTTTCGTGTTCGATAGTAAATTGTTTGTTGGGATAAGATTTATTGAAGAGTTCTAGCAGGTAGATTGTGTGCTATTTACTGTTCCAAACAATAAACGTATAATCAACATATCTAAAGTATTCCTTAATTTTATCAGTCGCTTGTTTAACCTCCATGTATTCAATATTACCCACAAAAATATGTGCCGTAACTGAACCTAGTAGGCTTGCGATTACTATCCCACCAATTTGCTAGCATATAGTGTAATTGAACTGAAAATGAACTTCTTTTATGAACATAAGTAGCAGTTGTTTAAATCCTGGAAGATAAATAAGGGAGATTAAAACACTGACGAAAAACGTCATTGATTTCAAGAGGTGATATTTCAGTGAACGAGGTTGTTAAATTCAAAGAAACCACAGAGCTATCAAAAACATCCATATGTTTTATTCTGTCAGCAAATTCGAATGAATCTCGAATGTATATGCTGCTAAACGCTGAAGGACTGGTTCAAGCCTGTCTGCTAAACGGCACGCAACTTTTTGGGGAAGGTGAGTTGATCATTGACAGGATGGGCCTAAGGGTAAATTCATGTTTGCACACCACTGATAGGCCATATATATGAGTCAGATGTCAGACAAAACGCTTTAGATCACTGTTGATTTAGCGATTATTTTCTTCCTTAGATTTTTTTCCAAGAATACTAGTGATTTTGTCTCTTGAATCCTTATCGCATTTGTCTAGAATGAGTCTCAGTTAGCCATCTAAGATTGACTTCATCTCGGTGATGTAATCAGCTGTGTTTACTAGGACAATAACTGGACGTTTATTCGGACATAAAATCATCACTTCTTAATTTGCTTAGTGTTTCATAGTGCTGTTGTGTGTCTTTTAGATAGAATATTCGGCTTTGACGTGAGTGAAATGAAATATTGACTGGCAAAATCAATTAGCTTTGATTTGAATCAGCCTTTCCTTCCCTCATTCACTAGATGCATATCTTTTACCGGGTCAAATGAATTTTGAATTAAGCCTCCGTATCAATCTTGTCAGTACTTGTCCCAATAAAAAGGCTTTTGTTTTTATATTACTCAACTTGGTATTCCACAAGTTATAAATAAACTTCGAATGGTTTTCCAAAAAACTTCCATATGGTTATTCTTTTATTTGAGGTTGCTATTCTACCCAAAGTTTTGTTCTTGCTCTCTTAAAGATGATAAATGGAACTATATATATGAAATATCAGTTTAATAAAAAAATTATGCTCCAAACTGAGAAACCGTTATTCCAGATTTTGGAGCATATCGCTATTCAAATAGCTTTTAACTGCAGGAACTCGTTATGATGTGAAGTGTCCGAGAGTTGATGCTGATATGCAGCTTTACCATACACGTGGGTAACCGGCTATTGGAGTGAAAAGAATGAGAGTAAATAAGGAAGTTTAGAGGCTGAACCGAATCAAAACATTTGTGCACCTATCCACAAATCTATATGTCCTTTATAAAACTAAGCCCACAATAATGTCTTGTCCTTTAGAAATGGAATTCATTTCTTGGCCAATCGCGTCCCTTATCATGTGGCCAATTTCTGATTGACCCAAAGTTTAACTCGTTATTTTGACATGCCAATAGTTACTCAAAATTGATGATGTTAGTTTTCGGAATATAGTTCACTGATTTAGAAGTTCGAGGTGAAAAATTTAGAGTTCATATGTTATATAAACATAAACCACTGTAGAAACCGAGATTGTAATAATCATCTTATGACTCAAACGATTACATAATTTGCTCTCAATAAAATTAAATAATATTGCTTTGTATTAGAATGAATGAATAATGTGAAAAATGAAACTAATACCTTCTGGATAGAATTTCACAGACATGTTTCAACGTATTTCGCTCCATCCTATATGAATAGAAAAATCTTTGAGTTAAAACAAAATAGAATAACGAAGGAACGAATCAAGCGGAGAAATTTCGCTTCAGTTAGTTTTTTATCATGGCTCTACACTAATATATATATATAATGAAATAATAATCAGAAAGAGGTTTTGTGGATATTATAGTAATTTAATGGTTGAACTCATGAGTGATTGAAGATAGACCATCACTGAAAACCCGGAAGTACTTAACGGGCGTCTCGTCATTGTATGGCACTCCTCAGCAGTGCACATACACAACCCAGGGTCTTCAGTCTCGCGCGCGAACGCTTAATCTCCAAACCACTCAGCCTGTATCCAACGGTGTTAATGTCTAACTTCAACCAATCCACGAAATTACGCTACAGTCCACCAGTGTCTTCAGTGCTTTACTATTCCACAACAGATTCGATTGAACTCCAGTGAACTCCACTTTTGAGGAGTTCCATACTAGTGTAGTGTCGGTTACTATGTTAAGTCCATTTAACTTATTCTACCTTCCGGACAGGCCAATTTATCCATTCTTCTTGAGTCACATTTTGACCTTGATAATTACTTACTTATCAACCTTGATTGTTTTATATGAGCGCATGGGTGTGTACATCTTATTTTATCACATATCTGTAGCTTATTTTTGTATTACTATAAATATGGGTTAACGCCTGATTAAACGAATTTGGCTCATACGCCTTATCCACTGCGCGTCATTTCGCTTCTCTTCCTTCGCTCCGTCCCAGTGATTGCCTGTCCAGATCAATGATTGTACAAAATATACGTGTTCAAAAATTCATTCTCGTATTTGACTTATTTAATTCCGTAATTCACCAACGCAAATTAAGTCGATAATTATATACGATAATTGGTGACATATGTATTTCGACATGTATATCTCATTCACGATCAATCATATGATCAAATTGGAGTCAGATCCCGGGTCACTAAACTAGGACGAAACAAGCTTTTAGTGCTTATAGGTCTTCAACGGTGATCTATCGTCAATCGACTCATGAATTCAACTATTAAATTGATATAATATCCACGAAACCCCTTTCCGATTATTATTGCATTATTGTAAATCATATATATATTAGTGCACAGCCATGATGAGCGGAATCTCTTCGCTCAATTTATTCCTTCATTATTTACCAAATGTCTAAATGGGAATTTTCAAAATAGAATAAAGCGGTTATTTGATTATTTCTATTATTGATGACCATTTCTAATGGACAACATTTGACAACTGGTTAATTTTTTCATGAAACATGTGACATGATATAATTGATGTTAGATATTTGATGGTAAGTGTCTATTGTTATTGTTATAATCAGAGAGGGGTTCCGTGGATATTATAGTAATTTAATATCACTATAGGGTTAAGAAGATTATTAAGTTTTTGACTGAGATCATGAACCGATTGATGTTAGACCACCATTGAAAACCTGAAAGCACTGGATGATCGTTCCATCCTATTGTAGGACTTCTCATCAGGGTGAGTCCATGATCCCACCTCCCAAGATTCCAATTGGTTGAAGTTAGATATTAACATCGTTGGATGCTGGCTAACTCAGTGGTTAAGCGCTCTCAAGCAAGACTGATAGATCCTGGGTTCAAATCTCGTTAAATGGGATCATAGATTTCACTAATTGCTAAACCAATATTTGTATAAAAAACTACTATTATTCAAATTATTAAAGTTAACTTGTTTTATTTGAACAAAGAACCTTCTCCTACATATCAACTGATATCTAGTAATAAACAGACCAATAAGAATAGAAGATTATTGATCAATGATTTGAATTACAAATCAAAATTCAACATCTAATGTCTTAATTTTGATTGGTTTAAATAAACATAACATGATTGCATAATCACTTTGTATATATATATATATATATTCATTTCTAATGACTAAATTGTTTGAACAAACAAAATTGAAGTATTCTGTTGTAGGTCTTTGTATAGGTAAATGAATGTTTATATTAAAATATAAAATTATAATTGTTTATCGTTTAGTTATTTATGGGTAATTTACATGAAACATTCAAATTTATTAACTAGAATCTTTCATTGAAGTAGAAAGTTACTAATTTCAGTAGTAATTTAGATAGGTAATATAAGTTCATCTCGGATACATTCAGATATTAATCAAAGGAATACTTTCTATCTTTACTTAGATTAACTTAGAACCAGTTGATAATCATTTAAGAAATTCAAAGATATTCTGGAACAAAACACTGTAGACATGTTTTAGTTGTAAATTAAATTTTTTCAGTTAGATGGTGGTTGGAGGTAGTCGACAGGAAATCCTGGATCCGGGTTTCGTGCTACTTGGCACTCACCAGTAAGGTGTACCTGTAGTCTTGGGGGAACTGGTACTCCCTGACGGACATGACACATGACATTGATCACCACCCAATGATCAATCGATTGTGATTAAATTTCTTCAGTGTTTGTATGAATCATCTAGTAAGCTAGATTTGAGAAACACAACTTATCTTTGTGATCATTAAACCATCATTAAAACTTACTATTGAACTGATTTCTTAATATAGATTATATCATAACTTTACAATATAACCTCTATGATTATGATTAGCTGTTTTAAAACTTTATTTTCACCACAGATTCTATTCTTGATATATTTATTTAATCATAAACAGAAATCCACTACAGTTGAATTTAACGAAATATGGCTGGAAATTTAGGATTTAATGTTGGATCATGTGGTTCACAGGTAAGTTGATTTATATCTTAATTGATGTTATTTTTATTAGAATCATACCTTATCATTTCACTTGGTATTATTTGACTTGTAACTTCCCATTGAGATTTAAGACTGCAATTGATCAGTCTGTTATCGACATATGTGCATACTGTGCGTATGCCTCGATATTGCCTTAATTCACAAGCTTTTTGTAACCAATGATTGATAGTGGGTAGCAGTGGAATAGGACGAAACCCGCGTCCTGGATTCCACTGCTAGCCACTATCCATCATTGCTTAGAAAAAACATACTTAATCATGTTTATTGCCAATTAGTTTATTGACTTAATCATTTTTAAAAAAATCTTGTTTTACCATTTATCTGAAATCTGACTTCCAATTCATTAATACAATGATGTATAACTCATCTGTTGGTAAGTGATCTTCATCTCAGATTGATTTCATTTAAGATATCATTGAAAACCAAAGAATTCTGGACAGTTGTTTTACACTGTTTCAGGAATTTTCAATAGTGTACAACTGCTATTTCACTAAGGCTCTCTCAATGAACGCCTAACCGCTAGGATCACGGGTTCAAGTCCCAAAAATAAAACTTTTACCGTTACTGATTTGCGACACAGTGTGATGATCATTTAGCTCAATGACTGTTTCACCTTTTACATGTTTGAACATCTGTCAATCATGACTTCTGATTGGAATTACAGAAATATATCGGAGTAAATCACTAGTGAATTGACCAATACATGTTTAAGTATAACTCATTCATCAAGCGTTAGGTTATACACCCAGCTTTGAACGACACAATCTGTCTGAAGGTTATGGATAGGATCCTACTTATAAAAATGAGCTAGATGAGATAAGATAAAACTCGATCCCAGCAGTGAAAATACAAACACATTGGTCATTATATCATTGTTATACCTTTTATTTATCATCTTTGTTAGCTCTTATCAACATCATGGATTTATGAAGGAATCTTTCGAGATATGCGTTTTTGTAGATATCTAGGGGTTTATCTGAATGATCTTTTTATTCAGTGAATGGTTACTAATAATGTTTTATGTTGATGAAAACATATAGCCGTATTAAAAATACATGATTATTAGCTGATGTTTAGTGTTTTTTTTTGTGCCAAGTTAACGTGTAATATACCTGTGGATTGACCTCAAGTTATGATCTTAACAGTGTTGATTTAAAATTCAAAATATTCCAACCAGTACGAAATTTATCGAAATGTTAATTTGAATAGATGAAATTATGACATACGTTTGAAACGAACGGTACTTAGTCTGAGTCCCAAAGTGCACATCAACTCTGAGATGCAGGTACATTGAGCTGATGAGTTTTAAATAGGACGAAACGCGCGTCGTGGATTCCACTGCTAGTCACTATCCATCTTTGCCTATAGACAACTAATCACTTCATACGATTAGGGATTCATCTATTTTATAATTATCGTAAACAACACTAATTATGTAATTTTCCCTTTTACAATGTCATTTGGTCCAACCAATAAACGTTCCAATAGTTGCAACTATCTAACTGATCTCCAGTAAAACTATAATAATGCCTATTTTATAAGCACGAATAAATATGTCTGCAATCTAGGACAGTTCTATGCTACATCTCATATTTTAATCTATACCATTAACTCCCAATATCATATATGTATATATATACTACTTCTATGATAAAGTATTACATTCATATATTTTGTATACTATAATTGGTCATAAATCAGTCATATGGAGAAGCGAAGTAAAAATCCAAATAAAAATTTTGTTTCATGGTTCCGCATCTCACAATGTTTCTGTATGAGCATCACTACTGGGATGCAGATACATTCAAATGTCAAGTCTCAGATAGTACAAAACACTGCTAGTCACTATCCAGTTCTGCTTGAAATAAATAATTCCTAAAAGGTCTCATGATATATCGTATATAAGCATCATGTATGTAGATCAGTTGAAACTTGCTTTTTATTACAAATCAGTATATTGGGGAAATATTAAGAAATATCTTGTATTAAACATCTGTTTCTTTCACTTTTTGGACTTCGCAACAGTATTGACTCTTGATCTAACAAAGGATTGAATACAGTAGCTTCAGGCCCTATGACTAATATGGGATATTTCATACCACTAAGTTGAAATCTAGTCATCTAAATTTTCATAATGTTTCTTACTTTTTTTGTTACTTTTAGTTACATCCAACTGTAATGCCTGCATCGAATTTCAATCCAGAAAATGATTGTGAACGCTTAAGAAATGCTATGGCAGGATTAGGGACAAAAGAAAAAGAATTAATTGAAGTATTTAGTAATCGTTCTGCAGATCAACGTGCAGTTCTTGTAAAAAAATATAAATCAATGTTTGGAAAAGATTTAATTGAAAATTTTAAATCTGAACTTAGTGGACACTTTTATGATACTATGGAAGCATTGTGTTTAAGTTCATATGAATTCGATGCCCGTGAATTATACAGAGCAATGAAAGGAGCTGGTACAAATGAATCTATATTGATTGAGATTTTATGTACTCGAACAAATTATCAATTGAAGAAGATAAAAGAAGCTTATAAACGTAAGTAAAATATAAAATCTTGATAATATCTCACTGAAAAATTCCCCTGGTTACTGTTTTTTTTAAGTTGAACTTTGTAATATTTCCATTTGTCTCAAATTGCTCGGATAATTGGCCAGCATTATCATACGCTTCCTGTTAATTGTCTCGCAATATTCAATACAATATTTTATCATACTTGAAATATCAAATCGATTAAATCAGTACCCATACTACATAGATTTTTTTGGTGGATTCTAATTATTGCCCAGGACTTGTCAATAGCACTAAAAAAACCCGACCAAAATTTAAATAGCAGTTACGAATGTAACGTATGGTTATATAGTGTCTAATCTTCTAAAGAATATGAGTTTCTTCAAAGAAACGGATACACCTTACTGATAACTCTTAACATGCAACAAATCTATATATACGACTTTTTACAAATTACCTCCAAGTACCTTACGTCTTACAGTCTTTCAATAAAGAACTGTAAAACTCTTAGCTAATTTTGTTGTTCTTAGAATGAACCACATAAAATAAGATTAAAATCGGTAAATGCAGTGAGAATCAGTACAGAGATTTACGGAGATTACTCAATTCTTTTGACATCGTGGACTGTTTTAAGTTAGATAACCATTGAAAACCTGAAAGGATTGGCTGGCCGTTTCGCTTAAGTATACAACTACTCAGCATCACCTATTCAAAACTCTAGTGGAAGCCAGAATATGGGAGTCTAGCCTCATACATAAAGAATTAATCATCAAATCACTTAGGCAACGTCCAGTGAAGTGCATGTATGAGGCAGTTATCCACCGAAGACAATCGAAGATGATCACCCAATATCGCCAGCTGAATAAAATCAAACATACGCACCAACCGGTTCTAGCTCACTGCCCGAACTCGAGTCTAGAGGTCCTAGGTTCGATCCTCTTTGTGGAGTCGTAGATGTTCACTGTATACTAGTACCATACCAAGACAAAACAGCTATATATATATATATATATATATATATATATATATATATATATATATATATATATATATATATATATATATAACTGCCACTGCATAGAGTCAGATGTTGTCATGAATACAAAGTGGAATAACTTTTGTACTTGTTTATAACAAGTTTCATTAGAATATATCTATCTTTTTCTTCATAAAATGAATTCAATCAATTCACCATTTTATTTAATACCAAAGTCAATATTATGTCTTATCTATTCACATGAAACTCTATACTGTTTTTTTTCAACATCTTTCTAATTACGGTTGTAATTGAGAAAGTATGTAAGTTTATATCTCTCTCTATGAATTTACTTGGTAAATATTGGCGGTTTCTAAGAAAAAATATATATATATATATACGTATGTCTAGTTTGGTGTGCTGATAAAGGAATAACTTAAACAGTGATATACTTATCTATTAAATGACAATGTAATGTTGATAGTCAAAGGCATGTTTGAGTTGCACAAAACACATTTAGATATTTATTGAACATTAAGAAATATTCTGAAAACTGTTACGTAATGTTTTGTATAATGTTCCTGTGGAATAAATACTTAGTTATTTCTAAATTCCACTGAATTTCATAATCTATTGGTTATCAGCAAATACTAATGACGGATAGATGATTAGAAAACAAAAACATTTCTTTTTGGAGCTGTCATTCAGTTTATTTGTTAAGATAAGTGTTATTAGCATAAAGCATTGAAAATAGATTAATTCCTTGAAATGTAATCTAAGAGTAGGTGATGAACATCTACTACCTTTTAAGCTTACTTACTTACTTAGTTAGTGACGGTTGGTCCTTCTCGTGGAGGTGTATAGGTCACCCACCAGCATTCTACAACGAACTGGGTCTTGAGCAAACCTTTCCAGGTGTTTCCAGTTGTTAATCATTCTTTTAATGTCTGTTTCCAATTCTCGGTGCAGTGTTTTTCTTGGTCTCCCCCTGTCCCGTTTCCCATCAGGATTCCAAGTTAGCGTTTGCTTCGTGATTCAGTTTGTTGATTTCTGTAATGTGTGTCCTCTTCAACTCCATTGTCTTTTCATAAGTTCCTCCTTAGCTGGAACCTGGTTTGTTCTCTCCCACAGTAGGCTGTTGCTGATGATGTATGGTCAACAGACAGTATATTTCGTGGGTAATTGTTTATAAATACTTGTACCTTTTTGATGATGGTCGTGGCAGTTCTCGAAATTTCAGCTCCGTACAGTAGAACTCACTGTCGTCACGTTCGTATTAAAGATTCTGACTTTGGTGTTGGCTGACAGTAGAAAACAACCTTGCCCAAAAAACTAACCTGTTATGTTACCAGTCAAAATAGGGTAATGAGGGAAAACTGCTGTCTCTGGCTTCCTTAGGATGTCAATAACGACTATATGTTTCATGTGTAAATAAGCATCTTCATTCCAATTGCTTGTAAACGGAGCGTAACTCTGAATAATTTAAAAATTAGATCTACTCAATGAACTATTACATTTGAGTAGAGTGGTTGTAATGAATGTTTAACATTTTACTTATTTTTATAATCGTTGATTTACTCCTTATATAAACAATCAGGACACATTCCTAATGGTTTTTCTTTGCCAGTTGTTCATGTTAAAGACTGTCCCAGTTGACATATGGGTGTGAATAGCTATGGATTACAATTATTACAACAACCCTAACTATACAATCGAAATAGCGATTTATTGGCTCTTGGAAGAATACCGTGTGCAGTGATATCTCAATCAAATTAAAGGTGTTGAGAGTGTTAAATCCTCAAATATCAGATTTAGTCATTGTTGAAGTGAACTGTGTTCATCGGCTTTAAATGTGTTCTCATTAATATCGAAGTGATTTTATCTTGTTTTTAGTTTATCTTTATTTTATAAATTAATACAGTGCGATTTTATGTCCAAGTGACGATGGATTAGTTCAGTACATTTCATAATTATTAATCTTTGAAAATAAACAATATGCAATTCTTCTGGGATCTTGACCAATAAATCTCCATTTCAAACTTCTCTCCTCTATAAACCATCCTTTAGGGAGAAGGTAACTATTGAAATGTTGTGTATTAATCATCAGATCTATTCGATAGATAAACCTCGTTAGTAATAAAAGAATTTCTCAAACATTCATAGAACAGAACTATAAAGACTTAAATCAATTTACAACAAAATATGGTACAATCTAGTATAGGATTCTCAAAGTCTTATAATTATAACACATTAAACGATGATATTGAATTTACAAAAAAAACAACCCAGAAACACACTCACTTATGTAATAGGTACAGTTAATTACATTTTTCTTAATAATAAGGGTTTCCCAATTTATTTCATTCATTGTAGTATTCACTGGACATAATCTTGAAAATGATGTAAGTGGTGATACATCTGGAGATTTTAAACATCTATGTATTGCATTATTACAAGCAAACAGAGATGAATCCATACATGTTGATCAACAACTTGCACGTAAAGATGCTGAAGCCTTGTATCAAGCAGGTGAAAAAAAATGGGGAACTAATGAGTCAAAGTGAGTGTAAACTATTTAATATAGTTCAGTTTTATATAATGAAATCAGTCACAACTATAAATAATTTTAACTGTTTGGGTGAGTTTATCTATTCATGACTTCATTAAGCTGTTTAAGTGAAACAGCATAAATTAGAGAATATGTTGATTACTACTACATGTAACATGTTCAAGATCTAAATTCATTTTGTATTGTTTGTTTGAATCTTCCCATTGATGTTTAGGATTGCAAGAGATTAGTCCGAAATAGAACGAAACACGAACCTCTTGCTGTATATAAATAGATTTCATCTATTGTTCCATCGATACTTAAAGTTATCTTTAATATTTATTTATTAGCCTTTTAAAACTTTAAGTCATCGAACAACTTTTGTATTAAGTACATGTCTGTGTACTCGCCTCTGAGCCACACTCCAGTTGTTTGAGAGGTATTCGACTGGATAAAGTAAGTCAAGTGGAACAAGGGTGAAGTTTACAACTTATTAGGTAAACTTTTAGTATCTTCTAACTACTAACTTATCACCAACAAACTAAAAACTGATATGTTTTACAGGTTCAATCATCTTATCATACCCAAAACAGTTAATTATTGATTCTGGAATATTTTCCCGTTTGTAAATCAATTGACTTTATAAACCTTTGGTTCCAAATAGTGAGGCTAAAATGTTTTGACTTATTGGTTGAAACAATCGATTTTCAAACATTTGTTTAAGGAGTTGTACCCTATTCTAGCTAACAATTTGTGGATCCGAATGATATCACTACTTTTTTAACAGAAATTAAATCTGAAACTAAATACGTATAACCTATGAATTGAAAGATATAGAAAGACGTTTCTTCATCATATATTTGAATTGTCAGGGATCAGTTGTAGATGCAATTTTATAAACAATGTCAGTTTTTGTGGACATATGAGTATTGAAATGTATTTCAAGTACTTGAGGTGGATCCTACCTCAGTAATTTAGAAGGTAAGCAATTCTACAGTACCGAAGGTCTTGTGTTTGAATTCTGAGGTGATGGACACACATTACTGAGTAATCACATGCTAGGGTGAAGTAACTGTCCAAGTCCTACTGGTTTTCAGTGGTTGTCTAAGATTACTCCCTGATGTGTTTAGGTTTAAAGTGTGTTACGTTTTCTACTTATCTATAGTCTTCAGGTGATATTCGTTATAAATTAAAGCAATTTTATTTACTTTTGATCATTTTGTAAATAATAGATTTATTCAAGTTTTTGCTACACGATCTCCTGAACATTTAAAAGCCGTATGTCGAGAATACAGTAATTTTAGTAAGAAAACTTTGGAAGAAGCTTTGAAATCTGAAATTTCAGGAAGTTTACTACAGTGTCTTTTGACCATTCGTATGTCACTGTTTTATTCATTTTGTTAATCATATAATTAAAGTCACAATAATAATACGTTTAACATGTCGTTTTGAGCCTACAATTTACAGTCAGTTATCACTAAGATATGTTTGATTCACTTTTACAAATTATATCTGTCAAAGATAATATAACATCGTTTTCATCACAAACTTAACTTAGTTGAACAATCATTGAAATCCAGGTAGCACTGGATTTTGTCCCTTTTTTCATCATAGGTCCGTACTGTAGAAGAGTGTAATACTAGAATGTAATAGTTGTCTAATGCTTCCTGGTTTTGAGTAGTTATCATTTCATAATTTAAACTATAAAAATTAACAAATACTAAGTAAGGAGATGTTATAGATGTGAACATTTTAACTTGTTTCTCGTCTAGTACTTCTATTTATGTAAAGTTACTGATGAGCAAAGTTTTATTTCGAATAAAAGATAAAATTTTCAGATCAGAATTACAACGTCAGTTGTTTAGCTGTGATACTTTATCATCAACAAAACTAATACATATTTACCTGAAATATCTCTTATTCTAGAGTATGTATTTGTAACAGGTAATATAATCATATATCTGACACGTTTTATATCAATTAATCATAGATAATAAGGGTTATCACTTAAAACATCAAACTATTCATTGTTTACTAATCTATTTCTTGTTTGGAAATGTGTTGTTATGGGAATCTGTTAAATAATTGATCAGAAAAAAAATAATATAGCTCAGTGACTTGAGGACTCTTAGATTTAGGCCTCAACTAAAATGTTAATGCTGAAATTTGAGAAATAAGATTAAATATACTTTCTGATTACTCTACCAATTATTAAGATGTACATAAGGAAGATATTAGTATATCTGATATTAAGATATTCAATTACAATGGAGATTGGAGAGTTGGATTAAACTCAATAATTGTACATTGGTCAGGATCGCGTTATATATACTAGTTTTTACAATTGTCAGTTTCTTATATTTGGTGAGGTCTAGATTTATGGAGATTGTGGTATTTTCACAGTTGAATTTACGAGTCAATCCAATGCTACCACGTTTGCAGTGGTGGTTTAGTTTAGATTGACTCGTGAATTCAACTGTTATAATACTACATTCTTCATAAATCTCTATCCTGATATTATTCATATGTTCACTAGTGACTAGCTTCGAGATGGATTCCATGGAGTTCAATCCGTGTTGGGTGGATACACGGATTACGCAATCTATCTAGGTTATACACTAAAGCCGTTGGATCCCGGTCCAGTGGTCTAGAGGTTGGGCGTTCGCGCGAGAAGTTGAAAGTACTGGGTTTGAGACTTGCATATTGGATTGTAAATGCACACTGCTGAGGAGTCCTATACTAGGAAAAAACAGTTATCCAATCATGGTTTAGCTTAGATTAACTCGTAAACTCAACTATTAAGATCCAGATTTTTAGACCGATAGTCATTTTACCAGATGTTCAAATTCAGAGGATAAAATATAGAATGAACGAACAATATGGTGGGGCAAACTTTTTTAATGATTGAAGAATGGGTAACATGTAAAATTGATTTCCTCTAATTGTTTATGACATTTGGTTAAAAACATGGTCAATAAATTAGTTACATTTTTGTGACCATAACAGCTTAATTTTATGATATCGTAAATCATATTCATACATTTCATTATTGATTCATTCATACATGGTGCTACCAGATTTAATTTATTTGATAAATATAAATGAATCATATTGAAATCTATATGTTTAAATATCATTTTGGTGTAATTTTTGTGCTGAATAACTTTTTATTTCACTGGTTGAAATCATGAGTTAATTGAAGCTAGACAACTATGGAAAACCTGGAAGCACTGGACGACCGTTTCGTTCAAGTATGGGACTCCTCAGCAGTGCGAATCCACGATCTTGCGCCCCGCAAGATTCGAGTACCAAATCAGGACGAAACGGCCGTCCAGTACTTCCAGGTTTTCTATGGTAGTCTAGCTTCAATTAACTCATGATTTCAATCAGTGAAATTTCTAAAATCTCCACAAAACCCCTTCTGATAAAATTTTTATTTATCAATTTCATCTTTCTTTTCGAGTCATACGAATCATGGTTTACTAATACCAAATACCAAGTTTCATGGTTTATATCAATGTAATGTCCTATGCTTTCAGGATTTCCATGATGGTCTAGCTTTAATTAACCCATGAATTACACTTTAGATTAGTCCGTTTATTATCCTGAATAGGTTTTATATATTTTGTGTACCGATGTAAAATTTCATGGTTACACAATATGCTGAATTAACTGCAATTACATATTGGAATTTCATTTGAATGACATTCAGATTTTGTGCATTAATTATAGAAAAATCTAATGATTTTGAGTTCAACCCAATGTACAATTGTACGTTTGTAAATATGCACATTTGAGAAGTTTTGAATGAAAATAGTTTTCTAATTAATGTTAGTGAATGAATGAGAAGAATAATGACTTCATAATGATAAATATTAGATTCTTTCTATTTTGGTGAATATTCATTTTGTTATCAGTAACGCGAGTTATACAAATCATGGTTTATTATTAGAAAATACCAAGTTTTATGGTTTATATCAATGTAATCACTATAGCAACTAATCAACCCTACATTGTGTGAAAATAATTTTTTTTTGTATTTTCAAATCATTTCACGTACTTTCAATAGATTTTACATTCATCAAAAATGTTGTTTTGATAATAATTTATTATAAGAATTTACTGATATTTCATTAACCTAAATGAATCACAGTAATAACCAATATTACACTTTGTCTAGTTTGAAGTTTATGAATGAACTTTGGAATGTGATCTCAGAGTTCAATTTAACTCTCTCTCTCTCTCTCTCTCTCTCTCTATATATATATATATATATATATATATATATATATATATATATATATATATATATATATATATATATATATATATATGGTGTTTGTAAATTATATTGGCCAGTGATAACACATAAATTCTATCGGTACAGGATTATGAAGGTTGTAGAGTTTTGATTGAGATGATGAATTGATCAATGCTTTTAGGTTTACAATAGCGATCTAACATTGATCGATTCTTAATTAATATAGTAAGTTATTCAGTATGAGTAGTACCATATTGACAATTCCTAAAGTCTGTATAAAAAGGTTTGTATAAAAAGTCTAAATTCTGATAATTGATTTCAAGAGAAAAAATGATCAGAACGTAAACCTTCCTCAAAATTTAGATATAAAATCTAAGAGGATAATCTCACATTCCGATATATATCAGAATACTTTACAATTCTAAAATGTTATTAGTGAATTGAAATGTTTACTGATGTTATTCGATCTTGATATTCGCATTTAGACTGAACAATCACCCAATAAAATAATAATGATGTGTTCACTAGCGGTTAATTACAAGATAGATTTCTTGAAGTTTAAGAAGCTTTGACTTTTGAAATTAGTCGAATTGAAAATGAAACATGTATGCCAATTAACATTGAATAATATTCATCCTGTATTATAAATCGACTAGTGTTATAAACGTGAACTATAATATTTTATTCCAATGATCTAAAAGTATCATTTTTGTTGTGACATTCGAAGATCCTTTGTTTAATCTCATGTGAAGTCCTATGAACTAGAATAGCTTAATTGTTCGACTCTCCAATATCTGTAATGATTTTAACGTAGACATTACATAACGATAATAAAACTCTTTTATAACTAAACATTTATTGTTATCAAGAAATAATTGAAATAATTACCAACATAACATTTTGAATAGATACACCATTTATTAAACTTAGTATTAAAGCAAAATAAGAAAAGATCATTCCAACAAAATGTTTTTTAACCCGAGTTCAAACATACATTTTGTGTAGCTTATAAATAAAAATAAACTGGATGCCAGCTCAGTGGTCTAGTTGATTAAGCTCCTGGCGCGAGACTGATAGGTCCTGGATTCGAATCTCGTGGGGTGCAGGATCGTTGATGCGCACTACTGGGGAATCCTATACTAGGACGAAACGGTTATCCAGTACTTCCAGGTTTTCCATGGTTGTCTATCATGATTTCAATCAGTGAAAATTCTAAAATCTTCACAAAACCCCTTCTGATAAAAGTAAATAAGTAATTTCAAATCATATGATTGCGAAAATAAATCACTATTGAATTATTACGTAATAACAATCAATCAGTAGTTGTTTTCTGCATCTAATTTATTATTCAGTTCCAAGTTAATCGTTTTATTACGAGTTATTTATTGATAGAAATAACTTCATGTAAATCACGTAATAATAAATATTTATTCTAGTCTATTTTCTTTTTATGATTTATCAATGTGACATATTTATGAAATATGTAAAAGCTTATTAGCTAATTTAATCATGTTTTATCAAATGGATTAGTAACAAATACATCATAATGATAACAATTTGATTGTCTGTTAGAGCTTTGAACAATTACACTTTATCAAAAGAGGGTGGACGGTGACGCGATTTCATGGATTTGTTGAAGTTAGAGCTGTTCAATGGTCTTGAGGTTAGGTTTTTGGGTGCGAGATTAATAGCCCCTGGGTTCAAATCCCGCGAAGGGGATAGCGGGTGCGCAATGTTTGGGAGTCCCATACTAGAAAGAAATGGCCGTCCAATGCTTTTAGGTTTTCCATGATGGTCTAGCTTTAATTAACCCATGAATTACACTTTAGATTAGTCCGTTTATTATCCTGAATAGGTTTTATATATTTTGTGTACCGATGTAAAATTTCATGGTTACACAATATGCTGAATTAACTGCAATTACATATCGGAATTTCATTTGAATGACATTCAGATTTTGTGCATTAATTATAGAAAAATCTAATGATTTTGAGTTCAACCCAATGTACAATTGTACAATTGTAAATATGCACATTTGAGAAGTTTTGAATGAAAATAGTTTTCTAATTAATGTTAGTGAATGAATGAGAATAATAATGACTTCATAATGATAAATATTAGATTCTTTCTATTTTGGTGAATATTCATTTTGTTATCAGAAACAGGTTTTGTGAAGTTAGATCACCATGGAATTATGGAAACACTGGACGGCCGTTACGGTCTATCCTGAACAGCGTGCATAAACGGTCCTGTCCCACGAGATTCGAACTCAGAACCTATCGTTCTCGCACGCGAACGCTTAACCTCTAGACTACTGGGATGATTGACATCCAACGGTGTTAATGTCTATCTTCAACTAATCTATGAAATTTAGCCACCGTCCACCATTGTCTTGATTGAGTTACTATATCACAACAGGCCCAGTTGAACTCCATTGGTTACTGCTTTTCACTAGACCCCCAGGAAATACTTCTTGAAGCCAGTCCAGTGATCCCAGGTTTTCCATGGTGGTCTAGCTTCAATTGAGTGATGAACTCAACTATTATATTCATTTTGTATCAAATTTAACAATACTTTTTTTAAAACCTTTCAGTTCAGTGTGCAAATAACAAAGCATTATATTTTGCTGAAAAATTAAGAAAATCTATGAAAGGAATTGGAACTAATGACAAAGATTTAATTCGTATTGTAGTGTCACGTTGTGAAATTGATTTGCATTTGATTAAGAGAGAATTTTACGATCTAGCTGGTGATTCCTTAGAAGCTTGGATTAAAGTAAGTTAAAAATAATTTATTACTGGTGACATTATTGGAATTAAATATTTGACTTCACTTATATATATGATTGTACTTCTAATAGTCAAGGACACATTGAGTGAAACCTTGACTAAGTGCTTGATCGAATTATTCTAATAGTGTTTACAATTTTCGACCTACCACCTGACCGTAAGATAAGATGCGAATACAGACATTTAATATGATTATATGCTAGTCCAGCCTATCAGTATCCTGAATAATATCTTATACAGTTCAATTATGTTCAGTGTATGGTCTGGAATAAATTTGTTACACTTTACGCCGACACCATTAGGAGAGTAAATTAACAGACTGAAAATCAAAGAAGTGAAAATATTAGTATTAATGATAGTGAACTATTGAACACTGAAATATATGTCAAAGCAACAAACAAAACTGGGCAATGAATTGTCTCATATATATATTTGAAGTTACATTTGGTATAAATTACTTTTCAAGAATATGTGCTAATAGATATTAATATACAATAAAATTACAGAGTATACTATTTTCAACGTCAATAAGATATAAATGGTGTGACAGTGATTCCTATCCGGTTTCAAACCTCATTTATTTGAAATAATGAGTCTATCATTTCTAGTATATTTTGCATGTGATTAGTAATGAAATTCAAGAAGTACATTTCTCCCTATTCAGGACAAATCAGCCAAATATACTTGTATTTCAGTTGTGGTATTCATACTGACATTCTAATCTAGGATCTTTCACTTCTAACCCCAAAATATTATCCTTTAAGCTAATAAGATCATATGTTCATTAACTTGTTCAATGAATATAAAGTTACTAGTATAGGGGTTGTGTAGATTATTAGGTTTTTCATTGAGATCATGAACCGATTGATGTTAGACCACCACCTTTGGAAACCTGGAAACACTGGACGGCCGTTTCGTCCCATTGTGGGACTCCTCAGCAGTGCGCATCCACGATCCCGCACCCCACGAGATTCGAACCCAGGGCCTTCCGTCTCGCGCGCGAACGCTTAACCAACTGGACCACTGAGCCGGCATCCAATGGTGATAGTGTCTAACACCAACCAATCCACGAAATTGCGCTCCCAACTTTCATTGTACTGAGATAGATACCTGTCTCTACCCAACAAGAATTAGCTCCACTGGTCACGGCTTCTCATTAGAACTCCGAAAATTCCCTCACGAAGCTAATCACTAGTGAGAACGGCCGTCCAGTGCTTCCAGGTTTCCAAAGGTGGTCTAACATCAATCGGTTCATGATCTCAATCAGAATATAAAGTTGTTAATAAGGTTTTGTCATTCCCTGTTGTTAATGTGAAAGACTGATCAACTTCTATTTCCCCTTATAAAATGGATAATATTGCTATTCTAATCCTTTTTTTAATTATTATAAATTTTTTTTATTAAACAATAGGATGATACCAGCGGAGATTATCGTGAATTGTTATTATCACTTGTTCGTACAAATCTATAAATAACAAATATTGATCAGAATGAAAGTATTTGATGTTTAACATTATTACATAATATACTAGACTATTTTGCGTTACAAAATGTTATTACGTCTTAATTGATTAATTTATTTGTTTTGTTTTTTTTAAATTTTTAATATTGATTATTTTAATTTGTACAAACTTTTAATTACTATGCATGTCTAATTTGCTGGGTGTGGGGGGGCTTTCTTCGCTTACTTCACCTTTTCTTTCTGCCTATCTTGTTACTATTTATCACTATGACACGATAAACGTCAGATGAATTTCACTTACTCGGACATTTTGATAAAAAAAATTCCAAAAAACATAAAACAATACACACGTACACACAACTAATGAATATGTTTTTGTCCGTCTATTCCACGCTTATTCCATTGACCTTCATTTGTTATTGTTGTGTTTGTTTGTTTTTTTCACGAATTTCATTCATGAAAATTGATCAATAAATCACTGCCATCCAACTTATACATATAAACCCATTTATAAATAGTTTTAGTAATAGACCAATGAAATATTGATTGTGTTATTGACCTTGAAAAATAGTTTCCATTTGGACACTAGCACAAATCCAATATTAGTGATAATAATAACATGATGAATTAGTTGAATTTGGAGATTAACACGTTGGAGGCCGACCAGCTCAGTGATCTGGTGGCTGATAGATCCTGGGTTCGAATCTCGCGAGACAGGATGGTGGATGAGCAATGCTGAAGAGTCCCACGATAGGATGTAACGACTATCCAATGATCCCAGGTTTTTCATAGTGATCCAGCTTTAATGGACTCGTGATTTCAACTATGGAAATAAAATGGTCATTTAACTTTCCACATTCTCGAGCGTAAATCACAAGAGTAGTTCACGCAGTCCAGTTTATATATATATATATATATATATATATATATATATATATATATATATATATATATATATATATATATATATATATATATATATATATATATATAAATTTGACGGATGACACGGAGTTGTGATAAAATCTACCATGAAAAGAAAATCCTACACATTATAACTAGATAAAATATTCATGAATGCTCTTAAATAAATAATGGATTGTACTGTGTAGTTTATCAAGAAATCATTTATAATATTCACTAAATATGTCTAATTCATTTCTATGAACATACGATTTAATTATTGATCGTATTATGGAATTAAAAGATGTAATTTCGTTAGCTTCTAAAGTTTAACACATTTAGTGTAATTAGCATAATTAATTACTTATATTTCATCAAAATATAATAGTCGAATTCGTGAGCCAATTAAAACTAGACCAACATGGAAAACGTGGGAGCATTAGACGGCCGTTTTGTCGTAGTATTGGACTCCCTAGTAGTGCGCATCCACGACCCCACTCGCGAGATTCGAACCCAGAACCTTCGGTCAGGCGCGCCAATGCTCAAATTTTATACCACTGAGCTGGCCGGCACCTGACGGTGTTAACGTCTAACTACAACCAACCCACGAAATTGAGCCACCGTCTACCATTTTCTTCAGTGAGACACTGGCTCAGAGCAGACGAAACAGCCGTCCAGTGCCCCCAAGTTTTCCATGGTGGTTTAGCCTGAATTAACTCATGAATTGAGCTATTAAATTCCCACAATTTCCAATAAACCCCCTTAGTGTGTTAAAATCTACTTAACAGTAACTTAAGTTTACTAGTTCTTCAATCAGCTTGATTGATTTCATTATCTAATCTCATCAAAATTACGCAACATTCCGTAATATTGTGTACATATTTAATCTCACATTATAACAGAGCACTTGAGATTTTATTAATAAACGAACACAGTTTTTCACATGTCAGTCAATTAGATAATAGTTATTTTTTTAAACAGTCAATTTGCTAAGTACCATGTCGTAGTTTAAACAATAAAATAAATGAAATGTAATGATACATTATTCAAATTCGAAACATTACACAATAACGGTGTACAATCTTAACCTCCTCAGAACTACATTAAGATACATTATTAATAAATACAAAACTGAGGAGTCTCACAATAGGACGAAACGGTCGTTCAGTGCTTCTAGGTTTTCCATGATGGTTTAGCTTCATGATCTCAACCATTGAAAATACAAAACTGTTTTTCAATTTGTTTCTGTAGTTTGTTGTATTGAGTTGATGAACGTCGGATATTTCTAAGTTAATCAAACAATTTATAAAATAATTCATAAATTGTAAATTTAATTCATAATAGATCTAATCATATAAGATCCATGTTTAAACTGTATCGAATGTGAACTCTAATTTAAATTTTTCAATTAAATCTATTCGTAATAAAAAAGCATGGGATTGGCTCATGGAATTGGTTGAAATAGTCTTTAGATCAGGATACATAATGAAAAAAAAATACTTTGAATCTCAACCGTTATCACATTAATCAACAGACTAGCTTTGTTTAATAAGAAGTTATTATTGATGAATTTCCAGGGAAAATAATGTTCAAGGTTACATTCACAAATCATATGGCAAAGATAAATCTTTTCTGGATGTGACCCTAGTAATAAAAGATGCCCACTTTTCCTTATTTATTTATTAGGTTAATTTCATATGCTCCAATTAGTTCAGAATAGATAATATTACTAGTTTTGAAAATGGAATCATTTACTCTAGAATTTTTCCAAAACAAGGTCAACTACTTAGAAGTAGTATACTAGTGTTCAAGAGTAAAATACATACAATACAGACAACATACTCTTGGACGATATATTTATTAATTCTCAACGAAACCTGAATATTTTAGTAACAATTTAATATTATGATGTAGCTTATGATTTAAACAATAATTAATTTTGTTCACTCCTTTAAATTTAAATCATTCACTGACGAGGTCAGAATTAGGAAGAAATAGTTATTCAGTACTATCTGATATTCAGTAATTTACTGATGGACATCAATCTGTGTACTTGTTTTTTACTGTGGTGATAATTCTATTATTATTTTTTACCGAAATTTACTCTTTCCAACGAGTGGATAACGTATATTTATCAATGAAAAGTACATTATATGAGTATTGAATGAGACAAATTATTTAGAATCTAATTGTTTATTTTTCGATTGAAATCATGAACCTATTGATATTAGACCACCATTATAAACCTGGAAGCACTGGACGGTCGTTTAGCCATGTTGTGGGACTCCTCAGCAGTACGCATCTAGGATCCTGCTTGTGGTATTCAAACCCTGGGCCTTCGGTCTCGTGAGTGAATTCTTAAACTCTAGACCACTAATCCCACACGTAACGGTGTTAATGTCTGACTTTAATCGATCCATGAATGGCTACGCAACCATTCTTCCGCTGTCTATGGTAGATACCTGTCACTACCCAACAGGTCCTATACTAAAACGAAGCGGTTGTCCAATGCTTCCAGGTTTTAAAGCGTGGTTTACCTTATATTGACTCATGAATTCAACTATTAAAGTTACTAAATTACTATATTAATCTATTCAGAATAAATTCCGTTTATTGATTTGCACTGATTTTGCAGTATGTAGGTAATTATTTTACAAATAATGTATTTAGTTTTGTACTTTTTTTCAATTTATTATGATAAAAGTCAATTATTAATGATTATTGAGTGATTGATATATAATTGAATAGGGTTAAATGTTAATTAGCTCTTCTGGAATCTCTGTCAAGAAAGCTCCTATACAAACTTGAACTTATCACATTAGTTAGTGGTTAGTGATCATGACTTAAACTCAGTATCCATCATTTTAAACGGCAATATATTATTCACTAAGGTACTGAGTATAGGAATTCACTGGATGTCAGGTTTCAGCTCACTGAAATAATAGATACATTTAGATAATGAATCTAAATAGAATAAAATAAGCATCCTGGATCTTATTACAAATCACATCTTAAATATACTATAAGTTTTTCATAATGGATTTTTAAAAGAATGTTGTGAAATGTTTTTTTTGTAAATACGCAATCGTTTGTAATATTGATGAATCAAACATCTAAACTACAAATAATTTTGGGTATCAATACCAAGGTTGGATTTAAAAGCTTCAAATAAATTGAGCATTAGGTAGAAAGTTAATAATAAAGGTATTTTTTTCAATATCCCAATGAGTAGAAAAATGTTATTTCTGACGTTTCGTGACTTAATGTAAACCACTTCTTCAGAGTAAAGAAACTAATTCTGTGATGCTTTAAAAATGACATGATATACAAATATTTGTGATTTCATCCCTTATTATTATTAGTATTATTATTATTTTGATAGTCAGATTATTTCCCTCTAAATTTCAAGGGTACATTGCAACTTCATTTTGTGTCTAACGTAAATCTGCAAGATAAGAAAGTGGTAATATTACAACGTGTAAATCAAAACACTACTTAACATGTGGTTCAAAATATGGCTAACTATATTTGGAAAAGCTTCAAAAACATACATTATTATGATTCATTTCTTTTCTGAACTCGTCAGATAGGTTGGCGAGACCACGATTTGTGGACGAACAAATCAGATTTAAGATAACCGGTTTTGGATCTTGACGAGAAATTCATTCACTCATTTGTCTAAATAGCATTTTTGCATTATAACTGATTTCAGTTCGTGATAAATACTCAAATCTAATGCCTAACTCTAACTATCAACTAAATATCATAATCCTTATTCTTCAAACTGTTTTGTAACTCTCATTTAGCCTTAGTCAGTAGGTGAACATTCTCGAGTTCACTAAGACATCATTCAAAAATCGTTTATAAATTATAGTCTCAGTGGTGTGTCTGTACCTTAATGTTGATATTCACACGTGGACTCGAACATTATCAATTGGATCTAGGTAAATCCAGTTAATGAGTTTCAGTTAAAGGGAAACGCCTGTCTTGGATTCCATTACTATCCATAGTCCATTCATTGTATTTTATAAAAAAATCATTATAGTTAAAAATTCAAGGTGATACTATTTTATTATTGTTTTCATATGGACTGTATGTTTCAGTCACATGTCAATCATTATCAGTTGACTAAGAGAATTCAGTAAAAAGTATGTTGATCGTTAAATCTTTTATGAAGTTACAGTTGATAAAATTGTATCAAATCAAGTGACAGCAACTAAATAGTTTATTTTTCTTAGTTAAAATATTTGAAGCTAAATCAGTCACACTGTAGGTATAGTTCTTGTATCTGTCAATAGCTTCTTTATTTATTCCGTAATAAATCAGTATTATGCTTTTAGATTTGTAAGACAACTCTAATAGGTAGTGTTGGGTTGATCCAGAAAACCCCTCGAAAAAAAAGAAAGAAAAAGCTCTGAAAACGGTGAAAAACATCTTATCCAATTAGCATTCAATAGACACCTTTTTTGATTGAGATCATGTACCGATTGATGTTAGACCACCACCTTTGGAAACCTGGAAACACTGGACGGCCGTTTCGTCCCATTGTGGGACTCCTCAGCAGTGCGCATCCACGATCTCGCACCCCACGAGATTCGAACCCAGGGACTTCAGTCTCGCACGCGAACGCTCAACCAACTGG